AGATTAGGGGCCTGGCAGCAGCAAATGGGAGGCCGTAATCTGCCAGCACCCTATGTCAAAAAATTCTACACACCAGCAGTGTGTGAGGAGACCTGAAAGTGGCACATGGCAGAGTGTGGCGATGGAGACAGCAGCAATGGGAGGGCCGTACAGGGACCCATGAGAGACTCTGGACCTGGCAGCAGCATGAGGAGGCGGTATATAGGGGCCCATGGCAGATTAGGGGCCTGGCAGCAGCATATGGGAGGCCCGTAATCTGCCAGCACCCTATGTCAAAAAATTCTAACACACCAGCAGTGTGTGAGGAGACCTGAAAGTGGCACATGGCAGCACCCTATGTCAAAAAATTCTACACACCAGCAGTGTGTGAGGAGACCTGAAAGTGGCACATGGCAGAGTGTGGCGATGGAGACAGCAGCAATGGGAGGCCGTACAGGGACCCATGAGAGACTCTGGACCTGGCAGCAGCATGAGGAGGAGGCGGTATATAGGGGCCTATGGCAGATTAGGGGCCTGGCAGCAGCTATGGGAGGCCCGTAATCTGCCAGCACCCTATGTCAAAAAATTCTACACACCAGCAGTGTGTGAGGAGACCTGAAAGTGGCACATGGCAGAGTGTGGCGATGGAGACAGCAGCAATGGGAGGCCGCCGTACAGGGACCCATGAGAGACTCTGGACCTGGCAGCAGCATGAGGAGGCGGTATATAGGGGCCTATGGCAGATTAGGGGCCTGGCAGCAGCTATGGGAGGCCCGTAATCTGCCAGCACCCTATGTCAAAAAATTCTACACACCAGCAGTGTGTGAGGAGACCTGAAAGTGGCACATGGCAGAGTGTGTGGCGATGGAGACAGCAGCAATGGGAGGCCGTACAGGGACCCATGAGAGACTCTGGACCTGGCAGCAGCATGAGGATGAGGGGGTATATAGGGGCCTATGGCAGATTAGGGGCCTGGCAGCAGCTATGGGAGGCCCGTAATCTGCCAGCACCCTATGTCAAAAAAATTCTACACACCAGCAGTGTGTGAGGAGACCTGAAAGTGGCACATGGCAGAGTGTGGCGATGGAGACAGCAGCAATGGGAGGCCGTACAGGGACCCATGAGAGACTCTGGACCTGGCAGCAGCATGAGGAGGCGGGTATATAGGGGCCTATGGCAGATTAGGGGCCTGGCAGCAGCTATGGGAGGCCCGTAATCTGCCAGCACCCTATGTCAAAAAATTCTACACACAGCAGCAGTGTGAGGAGACCTGAAAGTGGCACATGGCAGAGTGTGGCGATGGAGACAGCAGCATGGGAGGCCGTACAGGGACCCATGAGAGACTCTGGACCTGGCAGCAGCATGAGGAGGCGGTATATAGGGGCCTATGGGCAGATTAGGGGCCTGGCAGCAGCTATGGGAGGCCCGTAATCTGCCAGCACCCTATGTCAAAAAATTCTACACACCAGCAGTGTGTGAGGAGACCTGAAAGTGGCACATGGCAGAGTGTGGCGATGGAGACAGCAGCAATGGGAGGCCGTACAGGGACCCATGAGAGACTCTGGACCTGGCAGCAGCATGAGGAGGCGGTATATAGGGGCCTATGGCAGATTAGGGGCCTGGCAGCAGCTATGGGAGGCCCGTAATCTGCCAGCACCCTATGTCAAAAAATTCAACACACCAGCAGTGTGAGGAGACCTGAAAGTGGCACATGGCAGAGTGTGGCGATGGAGACAGCAGCAATGGGAGGCCGTACAGGGACCCATGAGAGACTCTGGACCTGGCAGCAGCATGAGCATGGGAGGCGGTATATAGGGGCCTATGGCAGATTAGGGGCCTGGCAGCAGCTATAGGAGGCCCGTAATCTGCCAGCACCCTATGTCAAAAAATTCTACACACCAGCAGTGTGTGAGGAGACCTGAAAGTGGCACATGGCAGAGTGTGGCGATGGAGACAGCAGCAATGGGAGGCCGTACAGGGACCCATGAGAGACTCTGGACCTGGCAGCAGCATGAGGAGGCGGTATATAGGGGCCTATGGCAGATTAGGGGCCTGGCAGCAGCTATGGGAGGCCCGTAATCTGCCAGCACCCTATGTCAAAAAATTCTACACACCAGCAGTGTGTGAGGAGACCTGAAAGTGGCACATGGCAGAGTGTGGCGATGGAGACAGCAGCAATGGGAGGCCGTACAGGGACCCATGAGAGACTCTGGACCTGGCAGCAGCATGAGGAGGCGGTATATAGGGGCCTATGGCAGCAGATTAGGGGCCTGGCAGCAGCTATGGGAGGCCCGTAATCTGCCAGCACCCTATGTCAAAAAAAAAATTCTACACACCAGCAGTGTGTGAGGAGACCTGAAAGTGGCACATGGCAGAGTGTGGCGATGGAGACAGCAGCAATGGGAGGCCGTACAGGGACCCATGAGAGACTCTGGACCTGGCAGCAGCAGCATGAGGAGGCGGTATATAGGGGCCTATGGCAGATTAGGGGCCTGGCAGCAGCTATGGGAGGCCCGTAATCTGCCAGCACCCTATGTCAAAAAAATTCTACACACCAGCAGTGTGTGAGGAGACCTGAAAGTGGCACATGGCAGAGTGTGGCGATGGAGACAGCAGCAATGGGAGGCCGTACAGGGACCCATGAGAGACTCTGGACCTGGCAGCAGCATGAGGAGGAGGCGGTATATAGGGGCCTATGGCAGATTAGGGGCCTGGCAGCAGCTATGGGAGGCCCGTAATCTGCCAGCACCCTATGTCAAAAAATTCTACACACCAGCAGTGTGTGAGGAGACCTGAAAGTGGCACATGGCAGAGTGTGGCGATGGAGACAGCAGCAATGGGAGGCCGTACAGGGACCCATGAGAGACTCTGGACCTGGCAGCAGCATGAGGAGGCGGTATATAGGGGCCTATGGCAGATTAGGGGCCTGGCAGCAGCTATGGGAGGCCCGTAATCTGCCAGCACCCTATGTCAAAAAATTCAACACACCAGCAGTGTGTGAGACCTGAAAGTGGCACATGGCAGAGTGTGGCGATGGAGACAGCAGCAATGGGAGGCCGTACAGGGACCCATGAGAGACTCTGGACCTGGCAGCAGCATGAGGAGGCGGTATATAGGGGCCTATGGCAGATTAGGGGCCTGGCAGCAGCTATGGGAGGCCCGTAATCTGCCAGCACCCTATGTCAAAAAATTCTACACACCAGCAGTGTGTGAGGAGACCTGAAAGTGGCACATGGCAGATGGTGTGTGGCGATGGAGACAGCAGCAATGGGAGGCCGTACAGGGACCCATGACAGACTCTGGACCTGGCAGCAGCATGAGGAGGCGGTATATAGGGGGCCTATGGCAGATTAGGGGCCTGGCAGCAGCTATGGGAGGCCCGTAATCTGCCAGCACCCTATGTCAAAAAATTCTACACACCAGCAGTGTGTGAGGAGACCTGAAAGTGGCACATGGCAGAGTGTGGCGATGGAGACAGCAGCAATGGGAGGCCGTACAGGGACCCATGAGAGACTCTGGACCTGGCAGCAGCATGAGGAGGCGGTATATAGGGGCCTATGGCAGATTAGGGGCCTGGCAGCAGCTATGGGAGGCCCGTAATCTGCCAGCACCCTATGTCAAAAAATTCTACACACACCAGCAGTGTGTGAGGAGACCTGAAAGTGGCACATGGCAGAGTGTGGCGATGGAGACAGCAGCAATGGGAGGGGCCGTACAGGGACCCATGAGAGACTCTGGACCTGGCAGCAGCATGAGGAGGCGGTATATAGGGGCCTATGGCAGATTAGGGGCCTGGCAGCAGCTATGGGAGGCCCGTAATCTGCCAGCACCCTATGTCAAAAAATTCTACACACCAGCAGTGTGTGTGAGGAGACCTGAAAGTGGCACATGGCAGAGTGTGGCGATGGAGACAGCAGCAATGGGAGGCCGTACAGGGGGACCCATGAGAGACTCTGGACCTGGCAGCAGCATGAGGAGGGTATATAGGGGCCTATGGCAGATTTAGGGGCCTGGCAGCAGCTATGGGAGGGCCCGTAATCTGCCAGCACCCTATGTCAAAAAATTCACACACCAGTGTGTGTGAGGAGACCTGAAAGTGGCACATGGCAGAGTGTGGCGATGGGAGACAGCAGCAGCAATGGGAGGCCGTACAGGGACCCATGAGAGACTCTGGACCTGGCAGCAGCATGAGGAGGCGGTATATAGGGGCCTATGGCAGATTAGGGGCCTGGCAGCAGCTATGGGAGGCCCGTAATCTGCCAGCACCCTATGTCAAAAAATTCTACACACCAGCAGTGTGTGAGGAGACCTGAAAGTGGCACATGGCAGAGTGTGGCGATGGAGACAGCAGCAATGGGAGGCCGTACAGGGACCCATGAGAGACTCTGGACCTGGCAGCAGCATGAGGAGGCGGTATATAGGGGCCTATGGCAGATTAGGGGCCTGGCAGCAGCTATGGGAGGCCCGTAATCTGCCAGCACCCTATGTCAAAAAATTCAACACACCAGCAGTGTGTGAGGAGACCTGAAAGTGGCACATGGCAGAGTGTGGCGATGGAGACAGCAATGGGAGGCCGTACAGGGACCCATGAGAGACTCTGGACCTGGCAGCAGCATGAGGAGGCGGTATATAGGGGCCCATGGCAATTAGGGGCCTGGCAGCAGCTATGGGAGGCCCGTAATCTGCCAGCACCCTATGTCAAAAAATTCTACACACCAGCAGTGTGTGAGGAGACCTGAAAGTGGCACATGGCAGAGTGTGGCGATGGAGACAGCAGCAATGGGAGGCCGTACAGGGACCCATGAGAGACTCTGGACCTGGCAGCAGCATGAGGAGGGGTATATAGGGGCCTATGGCAGATTAGGGGCCTGGCAGCAGCTATGGGAGGCCCGTAATCTGCCAGCACCCTATGTCAAAAAATTCTACACACCAGCAGTGTGTGAGGAGACCTGAAAGTGGCACATGGCAGAGTGTGGCGATGGAGACAGCAGCAATGGGAGGCCGTACAGGGACCCATGAGAGACTCTGGACCTGGCAGCAGCATGAGGAGGCGGTATATAGGGGCCTATGGCAGATTAGGGGCCTGGCAGCAGCTATGGGAGGCCCGTAATCTGCCAGCACCCTATGTCAAAAAATTCTACACACCAGCAGTGTGTGAGGAGACCTGAAAGTGGCACATGGCAGAGTGTGGCGATGGAGACAGCAGCAATGGGAGGCCGCCGTACAGGGGACCCATGAGAGACTCTGGACCTGGCAGCAGCAGCATGAGGAGGCGGTATATAGGGGCCTATGGCAGATTAGGGGCCTGGCAGCAGCTATGGGAGGCCCGTAATCTGCCAGCACCCTATGTCAAAAAATTCTACACACCAGCAGTGTGTGAGGAGACCTGAAAGTGGCACATGGCAGAGTGTGGCGATGGAGACAGCAGCAATGGGATGGGAGGCCGTACAGGGACCCATGAGAGACTCTGGACCTGGCAGCAGCATGAGGAGGCGGTATATAGGGGCCTATGGCAGATTAGGGGCCTGGCAGCAGCTATGGGAGGCCCGTAATCTGCCAGCACCCTATGTCAAAAAAATTCTACACACCAGCAGTGTGTGAGGAGACCTGAAAGTGGCACATGGCAGAGTGTGGCGATGGAGACAGCAGCAATGGGAGGCCGTACAGGGACCCATGACAGACTCTGGACCTGGCAGCAGCATGAGGAGGCGGTATATAGGGGCCTATGGCAGATTAGGGGCCTGGCAGCAGCTATGGGAGGCCCGTAATCTGCCAGCACCCTATGTCAAAAAAATTCTACACACCAGCAGTGTGTGAGGAGACCTGAAAGTGGCACATGGCAGAGTGTGGCGATGGAGACAGCAGCAATGGGAGGCCGTACAGGGACCCATGAGAGACTCTGGACCTGGCAGCAGCATGAGGAGGCGGTATATAGGGGCCTATGGCAGATTAGGGGCCTGGCAGCAGCTATGGGAGGCCCGTAATCTGCCAGCACCCTATGTCAAAAAATTCTACACACCAGCAGTGTGTGAGGAGACCTGAAAGTGGCACATGGCAGAGTGTGGCGATGGAGACAGCAGCAATGGGAGGCCGTACAGGGACCCATGAGAGACTCTGGACCTGGCAGCAGCATGAGGAGGCGGGTATATAGGGGCCTATGGCAGATTAGGGGCCTGGCAGCAGCTATGGGAGGCCCCCGTAATCTGCCAGCACCCTATGTCAAAAAATTCTACACACACACCAGCAGTGTGTGAGGAGACCTGAAAGTGGCACATGGCAGAGTGTGGCGATGGAGACAGCAGCAATGGGAGGCCGTACAGGGACCCATGAGAGACTCTGGACCTGGCAGCAGCATGAGGAGGCGGTATATAGGGGCCTATGGCAGATTAGGGGCCTGGCAGCAGCTATGGGAGGCCCGTAATCTGCCAGCACCCTATGTCAAAAAATTCTACACACCAGCAGTGTGTGAGGAGACCTGAAAGTGGCACATGGCAGAGTGTGGCGATGGAGACAGCAGCAATGGGAGGCCGTACAGGGACCCATGAGAGACTCTGGACCTGGCAGCAGCAGCATGAGGAGGCGGTATATAGGGGCCTATGGCAGATTAGGGGCCTGGCAGCAGCTATGGGAGGCCCGTAATCTGCCAGCACCCATGTCAAAAAAAAAATTCTACACACCAGCAGTGTGTGAGGAGACCTGAAAGTGGCACATGGCAGAGTGTGGCGATGGAGACAGCAGCAATGGGAGGCCGTACAGGGACCCATGAGAGACTCTGGACCTGGCAGCAGCATGAGGAGGCGGTATATAGGGGCCTATGGCAGATTAGGGGCCTGGCAGCAGCTATGGGAGGCCCGTAATCTGCCAGCACCCTATGTCAAAAAATTCTACACACACACCAGCAGTGTGAGGAGACCTGAAAGTGGCACACATGGCAGAGTGTGGCGATGGAGACAGCAGCAATGGGAGGCCGTACAGGGACCCATGAGAGACTCTGGACCTGGCAGCAGCATGAGGAGGCGGTATATAGGGGCCTATAGGGGCATGGCAGATTAGGGGCCTGGCAGCAGCTATGGGAGGCCCGTAATCTGCCAGCACCCTATGTCAAAAAAAATTCTACACACCAGCAGTGTGAGGAGACCTGAAAGTGGCACATGGCAGAGTGGCGATGGAGAGACAGCAGCAATGGGAGGCCGTACAGGGACCCATGAGAGACTCTGGACCTGGCAGCAGCATGAGGAGGCGGTATATAGGGGCCTATGGCAGATTAGGGGCCTGGCAGCAGCTATGGGAGGCCCGTAATCTGCCAGCACCCTATGTCAAAAAAATTCTACACACCAGCAGTGTGTGAGGAGACCTGAAAGTGGCACATGGCAGAGTGTGGCGATGGAGACAGCAGCAGCAATGGGAGGCCGTACAGGGACCCATGAGAGACTCTGGACCTGGCAGCAGCATGAGGAGGCGGTATATAGGGGCCTATGGCAGATTAGGGGCCTGGCAGCAGCTATGGGAGGCCCGTAATCTGCCAGCACCCTATGTCAAAAAATTCTACACACCAGCAGTGTGTGAGGAGACCTGAAAGTGGCACATGGCAGAGTGTGGCGATGGAGACAGCAGCAATGGGAGGCCGTACAGGGACCCATGAGAGACTCTGGACCTGGCAGCAGCAGCAGCATGAGGAGGCGGTATATAGGGGCCTATGGCAGATTAGGGGCCTGGCAGCAGCTATGGGAGGCCCGTAATCTGCCAGCACCCTATGTCAAAAAAATTCTACACACCAGCAGTGTGTGAGGAGACCTGAAAGTGGCACATGGCAGAGTGTGGCGATGGAGACAGCAGCAATGGGAGGCCGTACAGGGACCCATGAGAGACTCTGGACCTGGCAGCAGCAGAGGAGGCGGTATATAGGGGCCTATGGCAGATTAGGGGCCTGGCAGCAGCTATGGGAGGCCCGTAATCTCTGCCAGCACCCTAAAAAAAAAATTCTACACACCAGCAGTGTGTGAGGAGACCTGAAAGTGGCACATGGCAGAGTGTGGCGTGGCGATGGAGACAGCAGCAATGGGAGGCCGTACAGGGACCCATGAGAGACTCTGGACCTGGCAGCAGCATGAGGGAGGCGGTATATAGGGGCCTATGGCAGATTAGGGGCCTGGCAGCTAGCTATGGGAGGCCCGTAATCTGCCAGCACCCTATGTCAAAAAATTTACACACACACCAGCAGTGTGTGTGAGGAGACCTGAAAGTGGCACATGGCAGAGTGTGCGATGGCGATGGAGACAGCAGCAATGGGAGGCCGTACAGGGACCCATGAGAGACTCTGGACCTGGCAGCAGCAGCATGAGGAGGCGGTGGTATATAGGGGCCTATGGCAGATTAGGGGCCTGGCAGCAGCTATGGGAGGCCCGTAATCTGCCAGCACCCTATGTCAAAAAATTCTACACACCAGCAGTGTGTGAGGAGACCTGAAAGTGGCACATGGCAGAGTGTGGCGATGGAGACAGCAGCAATGGGAGGCCGTACAGGGACCCATGACAGACTCTGGACCTGGCAGCAGCATGAGGAGGCGGTATATAGGGGCCTATGGCAGATTAGGGGCCTGGCAGCAGCTATGGGAGGCCCGTAATCTGCCAGCACCCTATGTCAAAAAAATTCACACCACCAGCAGTGTGTGAGGAGACCTGAAAGTGGCACATGGCAGAGTGTGGCGATGGAGACAGCAGCAATGGGAGGCCGTACAGGGACCCATGACAGACTCTGGACCTGGCAGCAGCATGAGGAGGCGGTATATAGGGGCCTATGGCAGATTAGGGGCCTGGCAGCAGCTATGGGAGGCCCGTAAATCTGCCAGCACCCTATGTCAAAATTCAACACACACACCAGCAGTGTGTGAGGAGACCTGAAAGTGGCACATGGCAGAGTGTGGCGATGGAGACAGCAGCAATGGGAGGCCGTACAGGGACCCATGACAGACTCTGGACCTGGCAGCAGCATGATGAGGAGGGCGGTATATAGGGGCCTATGGCAGATTAGGGGCCTGGCAGCAGCTATGGGAGGCCCGTAATCTGCCAGCACCCTATGTCAAAAAATTCTACACACCAGCAGCAGCAGTGTGTGAGGAGACCTGAAAGTGGCACATGGCAGAGTGTGGCGATGGAGACAGCAGCAATGGGAGGCCGTACAGGGACCCATGAGAGGACTCTGGGACTCTGGACCTGGCAGCAGCATGAGGAGGCGGTATATAGGGGCCTATGGCAGATTAGGGGCCTGGCAGCAGCTATGGGAGGCCCGTAATCTGCCAGCACCCTATGTCAAAAAATTCTACACACCAGCAGTGTGTGAGGAGACCTGAAAGTGGCACATGGCAGAGTGTGTGGCGATGGAGACAGCAGCAATGGGAGGCCGTACAGGGACCCATGAGAGACTCTGGACCTGGCAGCAGCATGAGGAGGCGGTATATAGGGGCCTATGGCAGATTAGGGGCCTGGCAGCAGCTATGGGAGGAGGCCCGTAATCTGCCAGCACCCTATGTCAAAAAATTCTACACACCAGCAGTGTGTGAGGAGACCTGAAAGTGGCACATGGCAGAGTGTGGCGATGGAGACAGCAGCAATGGGAGGCCGTACAGGGACCCATGAGAGACTCTGGACCTGGCAGCAGCATGAGGAGGAGGGTATATAGGGGCCTATGGCAGATTAGGGGCCTGGCAGCAGCTATGGGAGGCCCGTAATCTGCCAGCACCCTATGTCAAAAAAATTCTACACACCAGCAGTGTGTGAGGAGACCTGAAAGTGGCACATGGCAGAGTGTGGCGATGGAGACAGCAGCAATGGGAGAGGCCGTACAGGGACCCATGAGAGACTCTGGACCTGGCAGCAGCATGAGGAGGCGGTATATAGGGGCCTATGGCAGATTAGGGGCCTGGCAGCAGCTATGGGAGGCCCGTAATCTGCCAGCACCCTATGTCAAAAAAATTCTACACACCAGCAGTGTGTGAGGAGACCTGAAAGTGGCACATGGCAGAGTGTGGCGATGGAGACAGCAGCAATGGGAGGCCGTACAGGGACCCATGAGAGACTCTGGACCTGGCAGCAGCATGAGGAGGCGGTATATAGGGGCCTATGGCAGATTAGGGGCCTGGCAGCAGCTATGGGAGGCCCGTAATCTGCCAGCACCCTATGTCAAAAAATTCTACACACCAGCAGTGTGTGAGGAGACCTGAAAGTGGCACATGGCAGAGTGTGGCGATGGAGACAGCAGCAATGGGAGGCCGTACAGGGACCCATGAGAGACTCTGGACTGGCAGCAGCATGAGGAGGCGGTATATAGGGGCCTATGGCAGATTAGGGGCCTGGCAGCAGCTATGGGAGGCCCGTAATCTGCCAGCACCCTATGTCAAAAAAAATTCTACACACCAGCAGTGTGTGAGGAGACCTGAAAGTGGCACATGGCAGAGAGTGTGGCGATGGAGACAGCAGCAATGGGAGGCCGTACAGGGACCCATGAGAGACTCTGGACCTGGCAGCAGCAGCATGAGGAGGCGGTATATAGGGGGCCTATGGCAGATTAGGGGCCTGGCAGCAGCTATGGGAGGCCCGTAATCTGCCAGCACCCTATGTCAAAAAATTCTACACACCAGCAGTGTGTGAGACCTGAAAGTGGCACATGGCAGAGTGTGGCGATGGAGACAGCAGCAATGGGAGGCCGTACAGGGACCCATTGAGAGAGACTCTGGACTGGCAGCAGCAGCATGAGGAGGCGGGCGGTATATAGGGGCCTATGGCAGATTAGGGGCCTGGCAGCAGCTATGGGAGGCCCGTAATCTGCCAGCACCCTATGTCAAAAAAATTCTACACACACCAGCAGTGTGTGAGGAGACCTGAAAGTGGCACATGGCAGAGTGTGGCGATGGAGACAGCAGCAATGGGAGGCCGTACAGGGACCCATGACAGACTCTGGACCTGGCAGCAGCATGAGGAGGCGGTATATAGGGGCCTATGGCAGATTAGGGGCCTGGCAGCAGCTATGGGAGGCCCGTAATCTGCCAGCACCCTATGTCAAAAAATTACACACCAGCAGTGTGAGGAGACCTGAAAGTGGCACATGGCAGAGTGTGGCGATGGAGACAGCAGCAATGGGAGGCCGTACAGGGACCCATGACAGACTCTGGACCTGGCAGCAGCATGAGGAGGCGGTATATAGGGGCCTATGGCAGATTAGGGGCCTGGCAGCAGCTATGGGAGGGCCCGAATCTGCCAGCACCCTATGTCAAAAAATTCTACACACACCAGCAGTGTGTGAGGAGACCTGAAAGTGGCACATGGCAGAGTGTGGCGATGGAGACAGCAGCAATGGGAGGTCTCCCATTGTCCCAACATGGCCCAAATAGTCCCAACATGGGCCCCCTGGCCACGCTTGACTTTCTGGCCACATAGTCGACATACGGCTACGTTTACTTCCTCGGGCGGCTTGACGAAAAATTGCCACACACCGCCGAGTAGGAAACTTTGCCCCCGATACTCCTCACTGGCTGACTGCTGCTTCCTCCGTGCACACCGGCACCACTACTGGCCGTGGTGGTAGGCTGCAGTGGAGCTGGTGCTCTACTCCGTGGCCGTTTGGCTCCACTGACACTGCTTCCACTGACACTGCTGCGACCCTGCTGCTGTCTCCTGGGCAACCCACCGACTGTTTCGCTCACTGCCAAGCTGCCACCCTCTTCTCCTGATGATGCGGAAGAAAATTGCCTGATGACGACGAGGCTGCCAAGTGCGATCAACCTCCTCATCATCATCAGTAGGGTCTCCGCCTCACTACTAGCCCCCTCGGCTGCGTCTGGGTCAGGAGACAGACCTGTCTCTAGACCGGCTACCGGGCCACTCTCCTCGCCACTACTTCTTCGCCTGGCTGCTGAAAAGGCGGATGTCTCCCCCCGTTCCTGACCGCCCTCTGTTAGCTCTTCCTCACTGTACAGTGGGGCTGAGCCCACAGCATGCGATACTTCGCTTGGTGAGGGAACACCAAAGGACAGGGGCAGGTAGAGGACACGTGATTTCAGTGGGCTTGGTCCCGGGCCATGCCAACTAACGGTTGTGTCTGACGTACCCACCGACCGTTGGCTGTGTAGGTGTCAGAGGTGACCTGGGAAGAGGAAGACGACCGAGCCAACCAATCGACGACGGCAGGGTTGTCGGTGGAGACACGACCGCTGGATGACACCGGGAGCACTGGCCTCTGGCTGCCTGCGAATAGTGCTGCCTCGACCCCTTCCTCTGCTGCCACGTCACTGTCTGCTCGCTCCTAAAACATTGCCTCCTCTGCCACTCCTCTGCATGTTGTCTGACATACTCTTTAATTAAACGATTATGTGTCCCTGAGTAACAATTCTGTGTCCCTGAGTAACAATTCTGTGTCTGTGCGAGTAACAATTCTGTGGCCCTAAGTAACAGTTCTGTGGCCCTCAGTAACAATTCTGTGTCCCTGATTAACGTTTCTGTGGCCCCAAGTAACAGTTCTGTGGCCCTCAGTAACAATTCTGTGTCTGTGCGAGTAACAATTCTGTGTCTGTGCGTAAGTAACAATTTCTGTGGCCCTAAGTAAAGTTTCTGTGGCCCTAAGTAACAATTCTCTGGCACTCAGTAACAATTCTGTCTGTCCCTGAGTAAACAATTCTCTGGCATTCTCTCAGTAACAATTTCTGTCTGTCCCTGAGTAAAAATTCTGGCCCTAAGTAAAGTTTCTGGGGCCCTGAGTAACAATTATCTGGCACTCAGTAACAATTCTGTCTGTCCCTGAGTAACAATTCTCTGGCACTCAGTAACAATTCTGTCTGTCCCTGAGTAAAAATTCTCTGGCCCTAAGTAAAGTTTCTGTGGCCCTGAGTAACAATTCTCTGGCACTCCGTAACAATTCTGTCTGTCCCTGAGTAACAATTCTCTGGCACTCAGTAACAATTCTGTCTGTCCCTGAGTAAAAATTCTCTGTGGCCCTAAGTAAAAGTTTCTGTGGCCCTAAGTAACAATTCTCTGGCACTCAGTAACAATTCTGTCTGTCCCTGAGTAACAATTCTCTGGCACTCCGTAACAATTCTGTCTGTCCCTGAGTAACAATTCTCTGGCACTCAGTAACAATTCTGTCTGTCCCTGAGTAAAAATTCTGTGGCCCTAAGTAAAGTTTCTGTGGCCCTGAGTAACAATTCTCTGGCACTCAGTAACAATTCTGTGTCCCTGAGTGGCCCTAAGTAACGTTTCTTGTCCCTAAGTAAGTTTTCTGTGGCCCTGAGTAACAATTCTCTGGCCCAGTAACAATTCTGTCTGTCTGAGTAAACAATTCTGTGGCCCTAAGTAAAGTTTCTGTGGCCCTCAGTAACAATTCTCTGGCACTGCAGTAACAATTCTGTCTGTCCCTGAGTAACAATTCTGTGGCCCTAAGTAACAGTTTCTGTGGCCCTAAGTAACAATTCTCTGGCAAGTAACAATTCTGTCTGTCCCTGAGTAACAATTCTCTGGCACTCAGTAACAATTCTGTCTGTCCCTGAGTAAAAATTCTGTGGCCCTAAGTAAAGTTTCTGTGGCCCTGAGTAACAATTTCTGGCACTCAGTAACAATTCTGTCTGCCCTGAGTAACAATTCTCTGGCACTCCGTAACAATTCTGTCTGTCCCTGAGTAACAATTCTCTGGCACTCAGTAACAATTCTGTCTGTCCCTGAGTAAAAATTCTGTGGCCCTAAGTAAAGTTTCTGTGGCCCTGAGTAACAATTCTCTGGCACTCCGTAACAATTCTGTCTGTCCCTGAGTATGAATTCTCGTGGCCCTAACTAATTTTCTTTGTCCCTAAGTAAAGTTTCTGTGGCCCTCAGTAACAATTCTGTGTCTGTGCGAGTAACAATTTCTGTGTCTGTGGCCCTAAGTAACAATTCTGTGGCCCTAAGTAAAGTTTCTGTGGCCCTAAGTAACAATTCTCTGGCACTCAGTAACAATTCTGTCTGTCCCTGAGTAACAATTCTCTGGCACTCAGTAACAATTCTGTCTGTCTGTCCCTGAGTAACAATTCTGTGGCCCTGAGTAAAAATTAAAGTTAAAGTTTCTGTGGCCCTGAGTAACAATTCTCTGGCACTCCGTAACAATTCTGTCTGTCCCTGAGTAACAATTCTCTGGCACTCAGTAACAATTCTGTCTGTCCCTGAGTAAAAATTCTGTGGCCCTAAGTAAAGTTTCTGTGGCCCAGAGTAACAATTCTCTGGCACTCGTAACAATTCTGTCTGTCCCTGAGTAATGAATTCTGTGGCCCTAACTAGCGTTTCTTTGTCTGTCCCTAAGTAACAGTTCTGTGGCCCTGAGTAACAATTCTGTGTCTGTGCGAGTAACAATTCTGTGCCCTAAGTAACAGTTCTGTGGCCCTCAGTAACAAGTTCTGTGTCTGTGCGAGTAACAATTCTGTGTCTGAGCGAGTAACAATTCTGTGGCCCTAAGTAACAGTTCTGTGGCCTTCAGTAACAATTCTGTGTCTGTGCGAGTAACAATTCTGTGTCTGTGCGAGTAACAATTCTGTGGCCCTAAGTAAAGTTTCTGTGGCCCTAAGTAACAATTCTCTGGCACTCAGTAACAATTCTGTCTGTCCCTGAGTAACAATTCTCTGGCACTCAGTAACAATTCTGTCTGTCCC